TATTCACTGCAAACTCGGGATGATTTAGGTGGTCACAGGTTTCCTTTTTCATCCTTCCAATGAATCAATCCTGCTCATCACCTTCACCTTTCACTATTTTTCAATTACGTTGGGAAGGGAAACCGTTTGAATGGAGGTTTACAGTCAGACAGATCTGATTCCCTTTTGCATTTATGGAGTTCGCAAACAAATTTCTCGAGCCGTTTTCCGGTGTTAGGACATCCAACAACCACACAATTACAATGTTCGAATCCCAAAACTAAAATATGACAATATAAGAACCAGAAACAAAAGCGATATCCTTCCCAGTATGCATTGCGCAATGACCGGAAGTCTGAGATTCTTGATGCATCTGTTACCACGTGACATCATAAGGTGGAACAACTCCAGATATGTTTTTGATGAAGAAATAACATCATAACAAAGTAATATGGGCCCTTTAAGGGAACATATTGTTTTTACATATACAGATTATAATAGTATATAATATTCAGTCTAAAATTTTCCAATAGGCTATTTATTTTAACACAGAAGAGAATTGCTACTGCCAGAGATTTGTACTGCCTCCATGCTGGGAGGAAGAAACACAAACCGCTCTGCAAAGTTTAGTTCATTTTTTTATAATATTTCTATGATCTCCATCGTATTTCCGAAATTCAGTCACTCTTTTATTTTGGTGAAGCAGAAATCAGTGCCTGAAATGAGCTGAATTTAAATGATTTTGTCTATGTCCTTTGCACTAGACTGTAGAGTGCATGCTACGCGTATTAACACACCGCACCAGAGGAGGAGAGAAATCTTTACGAATGAGAGAACACGTCTTGTATTTGGATGCTAGATAATGTTGACGATGATTAGAATATCGATCGCTAAACCCACCTGTTTATAGCTGGAGCTGTAGAAAGCCACCCACACATTGTCATTAGTCATGAGCCTGCTCCTCACAGCTCAGTGTGGAGAGTGTGCGCTGCCACCATGATTTAACTCTGCACCCAGTTCTGAGGGGGCGGTAAGCTCTTATTATGCAGCGCCGTCCCAGTGCCAATGAGACGGCAGAATGTAGCCCGATCAATAGCTCTCACAGGAAGAAGCCAGGTTAATTCATTTTTGAAGGATTCGTTTGCATCTCCGAGAGCCTCCCACTGCTGTAATGAGAGCTACGTCCCAGTAATGTGCGGCGTGATGGTCACACAGGCCGAGGCAGACACAGCCGGAGTCTTGAGGGATGCTGGGAGAAACATGTCCGGGTCTTCTTTACCATATGCCGTTTTGTTGATGGCTCATGTAGCGGCTCTCTTGTTTTTTCCTAATAAACGGTCAATTTATGCAAGTCCTCATCTGGAAATTGATGATAAATTGTTGCCATGTTTCATTTGTGCCTTCTCATTTTGCAATAAGAGCATGTTCTTTGTGACCACTACTCCTAATCTCTCTCTCTCAAGATGGGGTACATGCTACATTTAGGTGGGATTATGGTAAACCAAGAGACACAGGGATAGTGCTACTGTCTGAGGTGCAACATTTCCACTTTTGCAGCCCTATCAGCAAGTGTATTTTATTGCACATATAACTCCTGTTTGTCCTCTGGCTGGCAAACAGCTGCGCCCGCTAGTGCAAAGCAAATGTCACGGTCTTCTGCCCATCTACCTTTTTAAAAGCAATACAAGCTCACACTTTTCCTGACTGATTTGTTGACCATGTCAGTCACATATCATCCAAATCAATTATAGATTTAAGTATAAATAAAACATATCATCCCCAACCTTTGGTGGCTGCCAGGGTAGGATGAATACATTTGTTATTGCAGCGATAATTTTGGTTAGTGCTCATCTCTATTGATTTTCACACAGGATCATCAATCAAGGCATTCATAATAGAAGCTGTCTGAGTGCACATATCTGCCCACGGGGAATTATCACCCCAGGCTCGGGTCAAGCACAGATTTGATCTATTGTCAGTAAGATGAATTGATGTTTTTCCCACCATTTACTGTCTCTTATAGACAGCATTGGTAACAGATAGTGTGAGAGGGAAAGGAGTTAAACAGAAAGAGAAGGAACGGGTCACACTGGATATAGATAAAACTAAAGTAGTTTAACGTCAGCCTCTGGACCCAAAGCTTTTAAAATATTCACAGCCATTCTCAATCACCTTTTGCCCTCGTAGCTGCTTTAAGAAAGGAATGAAATGAAATCAATAGCAGTGCCAGTCCTGGCTCTGTGCAAGCCATCATCCAATCTTTGTACAAATTAGGTTTTAAAACTTTAGAATTTAGCCTGCAGTTGTATGTTTGTCGAAGTGACTGGAAACAAACATAGAAATGTGTAAGAATCCAATAATTTACAATAGCATCACATGCCCTGTCATGCACTGCAGTCATTTGCATTCAGATGTTCTGCTTATGATTAACAACTGGGTGGCATCTTAAAGTGGGCCACTCTTTGGTACCATAAATTACAAACAGACAGTAACATTATCACTCATCAAAGCAAAAGCATAGGGAGCTTCAGAGCGCCATTAATTTAGTCATTAGCTCCAGCTGAAACAGATAGCGGGCTAAACAAAACTGGTGTGGAGTAGGGCTGCACAATATATCACAATTTTATACAAAATCACAATTTGACTTGATGCGGTTATCAGCTCACAAAGATGTGATTATTTAGATAACACAATGCCCATGTAGTTAGTTAGGTAACAGAATGTAGAATGAAAAGCTAACCCTATAGTTTTAGACCTGTACAAACATCTCCTGAAATTGCATGGAATTCTTGGATTAGTTTAGTAGTTCACATCCCAGTGTGCTCAAATATTGATGCTTTTGGACCTGTTTGAAATGAGCACTCTGAACAGAATCTTACTGCAAATCTAACTACAATCTCAATACTTGTCCGAAACATTGCAATCCATTCTTTTTTTTTATTTTTTATTGTGCAGCCCTAAAATGGAACACATACATTTTTTGTTTGAAATCCTGAATTCTAAATTCAATTCTAATAGGCTATTACACTGTAGACACAGCATTTCACTTAGAGCATTGAATGGTACTGTTTTTGGAGCGGAGGTCAATGAAGATTTGATTTAGCTGTGAGCCTCTAGTGAATTATAATAGCACAATGGGGCAACCTGGTACTTGTTATCACTGCTCTTGTAAGAGCCTCTACATATGGCTTCAATCTTCAATCAGTGACTAATTTAGTTAGTACAGCTCACAGTTTTATGGTAAAGCAAAGCAGTATCTTTCACAGAAATAGCCATTTTCCCAATCAAGACAATGTCTGTATAAAATAATTTTATTTGCAGGATATTGAAAAAATGTTTCAAAACAAAGCATATTAATTGACCTATTTTAAGAGAGACACACTGCCTCCAGGACATTTGATGATTTGCCTGTGTGTTACCATGAACAGCCTTGAGAGAAAAGAGAAGAAAATGCCACCATGACGCATACAGAATAAAATTATGGATCCCAGCATTTGATCTTCAAACCTGTACCAGACTAATGCTTTCTATCCCAGCTACTTACAAGTTCTATACAGATTGAAATTCAATTTCAAAATAGAACATAATTTTGAAATGAATTTTCTGTAGATTTGTGGACGTTTTGTAGCTGGAGAGATAGACGCAGAGTATGGTGCACAGAGTAGGGAGACTGCAGCAGCAACAGTATGAGATGTGCACACTAGAGAGCAGTCTGGTCCCTCTTTCTGCCTGCTTCCTCACGCTCACCATACTGTTCATGTCACAGCACCCAGGAAACGCATCATCTGTCAGCACTCGCATTTACACACACAAGGACATATTTACACCTCCAAGTGGTGCAGATTTCAGCAAACATTGGACATTACATGAAACACAGTGAAGGATATTGGATGTGCTAATTGTCTTTAAGCTGGTGGACCTTCTCTTTACCCCTTGTGACAAATAAATTAAGGTTTAAATTGAATTTACATAGGGGCCCGGAGAGTTGTTGTCATTGGTGTGCTTAATACAGTAAAAAGATGCATCACTCCTCTGGTAAAGCCAATGAGATAAAAGCAATGAGTCAGAGCTTAAGATTTTTGTCACTGCTTTCTTTACTTACACAAATAGTGTTATAGGAATATAAAATTATCCTGACGAATAAAACTGTCAATTTGACCATTTGAGTCTGTTCACAGATAAGTAATGGGGATGAGGAAAGGAACTACATAGAGCAAACCAGCACAGTGAATGAACAAATATGTGAACAATATGAAATCTAAAATAGATCTTAAATTCAGCCCATCAGATTAACAGAGATATGAGAGAATTCTCTTTAGCGACATGTCTTTTTTTTTGGTTGAATACACTGCAGAGACCTGGCTCTCCAGTCCTCACGCTCAAATACTGTGTCTATCTGTTCACTCTGACAGGCTTCTTACATACAAATGACGTTACTGTGAATGTCAATTCATTTATTTAAAGATTTTTTTTTTTTGTATTTTACAAAAGAAATAGATAATTCTGTCTCATTTTTTGTCCACACTCGCACTTTGTTTAACATATTTTACACAGACTTTACATTTTTAACCCAACTTAAACATATTTTTATATTTTAAATGCTTGTCAAATATTGTGTTGACCATAATACAATGGTTCACCCATTTTTTATTGACCTGTCCTTAAGTTCATTTTGAAACAATAATTAAAAGTCCTGAAGTAGAAAGACACGTTAAAGCTCATATATCCATCCATGAGTGAAAAGCCTTAGTGCCCTAACGTATTCCTCCCCGTTGGACAGTCAAACATCAACAGGTCAAAGAGTCAGGTGGCTATTATGCCTCACGGCTCGACATAAGCAGGGGACAGCAGTGTAGCTGTCTGCTGCATAAAGCACTCTCCTTTAATATCACAGTGAGAAGCTGTCTAAAACGTATTTTATAATCCATTTGTCCAGCAATATTCGCCTCCCCTGTGTATCCAAAAAGGGATTGACTGTATATCCACATAATCACAGGTAAAGACGTAGTCAGTGAGCTGGATCACACCTCACATTCCCGAGAAGGTTGTTGTTGACATGTGCACGAGCCGTATTCGTTTATGATTACCAAGGCTCCCTCGATGTGGTTGGGTTTGTAGTCGACATAGTACTCTGGTGGTGAAATGGCAGCCATCTGCTGCATGCTTTGCTTTTGCTTCTGCTTACGTCGCTGACTACTAAAGCACTGCCTCAGTTGTCGTATTCCAGCAGGAAAGCACTTCCACGCCACATAGAGCATGAGCACTATGATGAGAAAAGAAAAGATGAGGGCCATGGTCCCAGTCACCACTTTGTGGATCTGCATGGTACTCTCCAGATCATCATGTCCCACTGTGACTGTGAACGAGCTGGTGACCACCTCGCTGCCTTCTCCCTCATAGGGGTTGGGGGTAAATGGACCCAGCAGAACAGAGCCACCCTGGGCCAGATCCCTGGTAGAGGCATACAGGCCTGCTGTAGTCACCTCCAGAGGTGGGTCCTCACAGAGCTGAAAAGCATAGACCGCGTCCAGCACGTCCTCACCCTGTGCTGTGTCAGGGCTAGAACACTGTAGGGAGCTGTCACGCTGGCCCCGGAAGGCACTCAGCCAGGAGGCCAAGGCACATACGTTCCGGCTGCACTCCCACTCATTCCCTGCTAGGGTGATGCTGTCCAGAGATGACCATGAATCCAGGATGCGCTGGTCCAAGGCAGCCAGGCGATTAGAGTCTAGCATCAATACTTTGAGGCTAGGGGTGCTCTCAAAAACATGTGGCTCAATGTACTCGATTTCATTGGATGAGAGGTCAATTTTCTCTAGGAAATGCCATGTCCATTCCAGGGTATTCACAACAATAGTGGCACGGTTATTGTGCATGTACAAAGTACGTAAAGAGATGAGGCGTGGAAAGTGGGCCAAGTTGACTTTAACCAGTTCATTGTGCTCAAGATGCAGCTCTGACAACTTGAAGAGGCCTGCGAAGGAATTTCTTGCCAGGCTTTGCAGTTGGTTGTATCCCAGGTCCAGAAACTGCATGCTTCGGCAGTCCTGAAATATTCGCACTGGCACAAATTTGAGGGCATTATAGCGCAAATGCAAATTTGTGAGCTTTCTAAGGCCATGAAATAAGTCTGGCTCTAGTGCCTGAAGCCTGTTGTATGAGAGGTCCAAAATGCGTAGGTTTGGGAGGGGCTTAAAGGTACCATTTGGCAGACTCTCAATTCTGTTGCTGCTTAGGTCCAGCTCCTTGACCCGTCTTAGCCTGTCAAAAGCCCCCTCCTCCACAATGTCAATGTTGTTGTGGTCTAGGTAGAGCCAGGTGAGTTGTGACAGACTGGACAGTTGGCCTTCACGTAGCTCGGTCAGATTGTTCTCTCTCATGGACAGACCCATGGCACTGCTCAGATTCTGAGGAATGTCTGTGAGATTGAGCCCCTCGCAGTACAGCAGCTTGCTGTCGCAGCGACACAGTCTGGGACAGACCCCCTCCACTAAGGGAACTGTTCTCAAAAAAATGCCCAGTGAATACAATATCAACCCAGGGGGCTTCTTCAGCGGCCACTTTAAGTACAGTCCAATTAGAAGGAAATCCATTAGCATAAATATCCAGGGATGTCTCTGAGAAAATGTCCATTGAACCACTGTGGGAATTGTATTACCACCTATCACACCACAGTCATTGCATATTTTTTAACCTTTCCGCAGCATTGTTCCATTTCGTTCGTTAGCCAGACACCTATGAATTGGTCATTTATTAAACAATTAATCCAAAAGGTAAATGCCTGGACTCTTTAATCATAGATCAAGCAGTGGGTGGATAAAAGGAATCAAACTGTCCTCGTTGATTGCTTATTTGAAAAGATTCCTACTTACCCCTATCCAAAAGCTGACAATTCATTCAGCGTCTCGCTTTGTGCCCCAACACTAATTATGTGCGAATCTAAAAAAGACCCCACTGTGGTACAAATCCCCCCCTCCCTTCGCTCTTTTCAGTGGACACCAGATCCTTGGCAGGCTTACAATGTCTTAGTTCTCTTCAAGTGAAAGAGCCAGAAAGAGAAGGAATCCAAGTAGCTTTCAGCGAGACGATAGGAAGTGCAAGTTCCTCTGTGTGCATGCATGAGCTCTGTCTCTCCTGCTCCTCCGCAGTCCTCTGCTGCAATGATCAGAGGGGAGAAGACACAAGTCGAGAAGAGAAACCTGCACCAAAAAAAAAAAAGTCTTTAAAATGTGTCGGAGCACATCTCTTCTCCTCTCCTCGCTTAAGTTTCACTTGCTCTGTCGACACACATTATTGTCCATCTCTTGTAGCCATCGGTGACATGTATGATTTAAATCCATTTAAGCGTGTAATCATGCTTTCAATGATGGATGTGAGACAAAAAAAAAAAAGGATTTAGTGAGGTAAAGCCTCCTGACCGTTTTCTTGTGTAACCGTATTCCTTGTCACGTCAGCAGCTCATGTCGAGTGAAAAGCGTCTGGTCTCCCTGTGGCTCGGTGGTGAGCGCTGCTGGCTGCTCCGGGTGTCTCCTCCTGTGGCTGGAGAGCGCTGGCTCAGTGCTGCTGCTGCTGTAGAAGGCAGGCAGGGGCGGGAAATGTGGGAAGCAAAGAGCGCGCAGTCCCTTGCAGCAGACCAGTCCACTGACAGTGCATGCAGAAGCACCTTCTGTTCACTGAGTGTCGTAAGCCACTCACAATTCAGAGAGCTCGCTCTCTCCCCTTGATCGCTCACTCGCCGCTTCGCACTGCCCCCCTCCCTCCTCCTCTTCCCCTGTGTTTTTCTCTGTGCCTCAGACATTTACATATTCCGAATGGGCTGGGCTTAAACCAGGAGCTGCTCTATTCCTCCCCCGCCTTCAATGACTCTAATGAATTGGGCTATATATTGTCTGCCTCTATTGACGTTGCTATGAGAAAGCATTTTTTTTTTTTTTTCTCCTTTCATCAGAAATGCAACATAGCATGTCCTCCAGTAGTCAGATTTTTTGTCTGCACTTGACACATGCAGCCCTGTTTAATATTCATTACAAATGTGTTTAGAGAGTAAATAGTTCAGTGGCAATGGTGTATCTTTTTAACATAAAACTAAAATGTAACTTCTTAAATTAATCAAGAGTTCAGTAACAATAGTTTTAATAGGAATTATTTTTAAAGAAAAAGATCTGTCATTCAATATCAACGTATATCTTATATCTTATATCTTTTAAGTGGTCAACCATCCTCAAAATGGCACCATATAACTGAAACCTATGAATACTGGACCTGGGTACACAGCACAGTTGATTCACTAATTATGACCTCACTCAGTTGTTCTTTATCATTCCAGTTTTACCCTGGTAATAATTCAGTCTCAATATGTGCCCATTGTTTTGGCCTGCAAGTAATAAAGGCTTAAGTTAATGAGTCCAGACGAGAGAATGACATATCTCGTTTGATCAAACTGTCCTGTCGCCAGGCATTCTTTGTCATTGTCAATTACAGTGAGGCTATCCATTCTAAACACAGATGTAATTGGTTGCCACATATTATTAGCATAAAGCTTTACCATAAATATTCTCATCTGAAGCTGTGCCTCCATCCTGTTCTGCACTGATGTCATTCTGTGCTTCGTCTTCTCTGCTCTCCCATTAATCTCCAAAGACAATGAGCTGTGACAATGCCTTACATTTATATCAGCAGCAAAGTCACTAACTGTGTGACCCTTTCCCCTTTCAGACTGTGCCACATGTTTACTAAGTTAACCTTTAACCATAGCCCTACTAGTTATTAATACTACTAACCCCATATGTTCTAGTGTAGCACTTGTCTACAGCATTAATGGTGTGATTTAAGACCAGCCCTGTCATCATCCTTGTTCTTTTGATCCTGCCTGTCGGCTGCTGTAATGTAGGTGTTGATGTTGGGGAGCTGTCAGTGTGGCATTATAATAAGCAGCAGGATTGTTCACTAACTAGGTCAGGGATTCTTAAAAAGTTGTATCTCATGACAGAAATGCACTATTTTCAATGTGATCGAAAGAGCAGTGTATGTGCATATGTAATAGACACATCACAACATGTCACAGAGTGTATAATGGTCCTGTATTACAGTGGAAGTCAAGTCCCAAGAGCTAGACTCATACAAATGCTGTTATATATCATAATTATGAAAAATGTACTCAAACTGTTCTTTTTGGCATAAAAATAGCATATAATTTGGCTGAAAATGTCATTGTGTAGAGAAGACTACAGAAATGATGTACTTTATTAGTGTAGGTACAACATACCAGTGAACGGTGTCACCATTACAGTCAATTTGCGTACTGAAACTTAATGGAATGTGACCATGTTGAAGTTGGAATCCTCCCTGCCAAGCTATATTCCCACTCAGCAATAATGGACAAACCAAACCATCAGCTAATGGTGTGGTGTGCTGCAAAGATTGCAATGAATGGAACTCATTTCACTTAAACATAGTTCATTAACATTAACAATTATATTTAAGATTTCATTAAAAGTCTTGCCTAAGTGAAGTTTATCATTTTATTTCCTGGTTGGACACGGACAGCAAATACGACATTCATAGACGCAAAATTCTGTCTCTGCCCATTCGATCACTTGGCTTGCCAATTCTACCCAGAGATAAATAAATACAAACATTCCCTTACATACACATATCACAGTGAAGCCAATCCTCATATTATGTTGTTTTCATGATATTTGTTTTTTATTTCATGGTATTTGCCATTTTTCTGGTCTCCTCACTTAAATGTGGTCGATGGATCAGAGCCAGGCATCACTTTTGAGGGCTAATGCTAAGAGCTGCTTAGTTAATAGGGTGAGCATTGAGACTCAACTATACACTACTATACACTACTATTTACTACTATACACTACTATACACTACTATTTACTACTATACACTACTATACACTACTATTTACTACTATACACTACTATACACTACTATACACTACTATTTACTACTATACACTACTATACACTACTATTTACTACTATACACTACTATTTACTACTATACACTACTATACACTACTATACTACTATACTACTATACACTACTATACACTACTATATTACTACTACTACTACACTACTATACACTACTACTACTACTACTATACTACTACTATACACTACTATATACACTACTATACTACTACTACTATACACTACTATACACTACTATTTACTACTATACACTACTATATACTACTACTATATTACTACTATACACTACTATATACTACTACTACTACTACTACTATACTACTACTATACTACTATACTACTATACACTACTATATACACTACTATACACTACTACTACTATACTACTATACACTACTATACACTACTATTTACTACTATACACTACTATACACTACTACTACTATACACTACTATACACTACTACTACTATTACTACTATACACTACTACTATACTACTATACTACTATACACTACTATACACTACTACTACTATATACTACTACTATATATACTACTACTATACACTACTATTTACTACTATACACTACTATAACTACACTACTATACACTACTATACACTACTATATACTACTACTATACACTACTATTATACTACTACTATACACTACTATACTACTACTATATACTACTATTACTACTATACACTACTATACACTACTATACACTACTATACACTACTATACTACTATATACTACTACACTACTACTACTACACTACTATACACTACTAACTACTATACTACTATACTACTATACACTACTATACACTACTATATACTACTATACTACTATACACTACACTACTATACACTACTATATACTACTACTATACACTACTACTACTACTACTACTATACACTACTATACACTACTATACTACTATACACTACTATATTACTACTACTACACTACTATACACTACTATTTACTACTATACACTACTATACTACACTACTATACTACTATACTACTATACACTACTATACACTACTATACACTACTATACACTACTATATTACTACTACTACTATACACTACTACACTACTATACACTACTATTTACACTACTATACTACTATATACTACTATACTACTATATACTATACTATACTACTACTATACTACTACTATTTACTACTATACACTACTATATACTACTACTATATACTACTACTATACACTACTATATACACTACTATATTACTACTATACACTACTATATACTACACTACTATATACTACTATACACTACTATATACTACTATAACTACTATACACTACTATACACTACTATACACTACTATTTACTACTATACACTACTATACACTACTATTTACTACTATACACTACTATTTACTACTATTTACTACTATACACTACTATACACTACTATACACTACTATATACTACTATACACTACTATACTACTATACACTACTGTATACTACTATACACTACTGTATACTACTATACACTACTATACTACTACTACTATATACTACTGTATACTACTATATACTACTATATACTACTGTATACTACTATACACTACTATATACTACTGTATACTACTATACACTACTA